GGGGGGGGGGGGGGGGGCCCAGCCGCCTGCAGCTGTGTGCTCAGCACCCTGCCCCCACCCCGTGCCCTTCCCAGAGCCCACACTGGCACTCCACTTTGGCACCGCAGAAAGTCCTTGCTTTTCGGACCCTTGTCAAAACTTGCTGTCTTACGTGTCCCTGGTCATGCTCGCATGTTAGCAGAGAGAGGCCTCCTAAAGGAGCCACTGTCACAGCGTCTGAGGGAGTGGTAGCCTGGTGCCAAGGAAGGTGTGAGGGGGACCTTGAAGTGCCCACGTGTCGCTCTGGATGGGAGCCCTCTTAGGATGGGCTCTACACGTACCCCCCAACCCCCACCCTTGTCCTCAGGGCTGGCCAACCTCTAAGATGTGCTCCGGGTCGAAGGTTCTGAGTCCACGGCGCCTGAGCCTGAGGTCCTCTTTAGTTACTGCTGCTTACCAGGGCCAAAAGCATCCCTGAGAAGGAAGTAGGCAGGAGAGGGCCAGACCTGGGGAGGGACTCCCAGGGCCCTGCAGGGCTGGGAGCAGGGACACTTCTGAGGAGCCGCCAGGGAAGGAGGTGAGACCCCAGGGTGCTCTCCCTGGCAAAGGGGCACCAGGGGCAGCTGCACTTTTGTCTTGCTGAGTGGCCCCCCGTAGGCTATTCAAGGCCCCTGAGGTCACAGGTGCACTCTGGGAAATCGGTGGGGGGGGAGATGGGGTGGGGTGAGGTGGGGTGGGGTGGGGAGGGCAGGGGAGGAAAGGAGGCAGCCCCTCCCCTCCCGGAGCCCCTGCCTCAGGGAGGCCAGGAGTGAAGGGGAAGCAGGCCCTGGGGTCTCTGACAGTCCTCACCCTGGTTCAAGGCCCTTAGTTCCGTGGGCCTCTGTTTCCTCATCTGAGACCAAATCTGTGTCCTACCTGCCTCTTGGGGTTTGGTAAGAGTTTGGTGAACTAAAGGGTGTGAAGGGTGTTGTGCAAATGAGAGACATTATGACGACTTATTTGTTGGGTGATTTGGATCCCAGACCAGCCTCTTTCTCTCCAGGAAACAGGTTTCAGGTTCTTTCGGTAAACAGTTAAACCATGTGGGATGCACAGTGATTGACCCAAATGGCCAAATGTTGCCAGTGCTGGTGAGATGTGGTCATTCACAAAGCTGCCCACAGCCCTTCATAGTAGGTGAGCTTGCCTGCTGGTTCCCTGTATTTCCTGAGGTTTCTGGCATCTTTGCATAGAAGACTCCTGGGAACAGGGAGGGTGCCCTCTGCTTCCTTACGCCCCAAATGTTGGGTACACAGTTGGCATGTAGAATAGAGTTAGGGCTGGAAGGAACCCTCAAACTCAAAGGTTCCACGATAGACTACCAAGCATGCCCACAATTCCGCCCTGGCGTGTGTGTCCTTTGCAATGTGACTTCCCCACACTCCTAAGAGGTGGGGTCTCGTTGAATCTGGGCTGGCCTCATCACCTGGATTGGACAACAGAATGCAGTGGAACTGACGGCATGCAAGCTCAAGGCTCAAGAGACCTTACAGCTTCTGCCTTCACCTCCTTAAGCAGCTGCCCTGAGATGCCATGGAGGAATTTGGTGTAGCCTGTTGGAGGAGAACCGAAGCCCCCCAGCCAACAGCCAGGCCAACAGCTCGACGTGTGGGGGAAGCCATCTTGGACCTTACGGCCTAGCTGACATTCCCACTGAGCAAAGCTTCTGGAGCGAGTCCAGAAGAAACCAGACAAGGAACCCCCCAGCCCAACCATGTAAGCTTGAGAAAGGATAAGCCGCAGTTGTCTCAGTGTTGGGGTGATTTGTTACACAGCACAGGCTAACGGAAGCCCAGAGAAGGGAAGGGACTTACCGAAGGTCCCACAGTGAAGCAGGGACCAAGTCTGACTATGACCAGGTTTCCCAGCTGCCCCCCAGAGCCCTTCCCACCATCGCAGCCAACTCCCTCGGCCCAGCCCCGTGTGTGTGCACGTGTGTAGGGGTGTCCACCAGGTGGGCCCTTCCCATTTCCGCCTGAATTATAGAGGGTTGGTGGACATCCACACAGGGCTGTCATGACCATCGTCTCTTGGGAGGGAGGTATGGTTCATCCCATTCTACAGATGATGTACCAGAGACCAGGAGCTGCTGGGCAACTTGCTGGCAGCCACACAGCTAGTAAGCAGCAAAGCTCTGCCTCAAAGCCAGGTCCTCTGACGCTCTCTCAGGATCCTGCCCGTTGGCTCCCAGGAAGGAAGATGGCAGGGAATAAGGTTCCCTCCAAGGGTCAGCATCTCAGAAAGGGGCACACACACGGGCACACACACACACACCCCACTCACGTCGCGTTGGTCTGTCTTGCTCTCTCTTTGTCTCTCTCTCTTCTTCCCAGCCCTCCGTCTTCAACCAGTTTACCCCTAATGGACCATATACTTTATTAAAAATATATAGTTACAAACTCCATTGTCAGTCTGGGCTGGGCCTGGGGGTCCAGAGGGACCACAGGAAGGGATGGGCCCTCATCCTGCCCCTTGGGGTCCCGCCTCTGCGCTCAGACCCACCACCATCCAGGGGCCAAGATGGCTGGCTTTGAGGGCTCCGGGGAGCAGCCAGGGGCGGGGGAGGGGCTAGGTTGCCGGGCCGGGGAGAGGAGGAGGGGTGCACAGAGAGGGGCCGCATCCCCGCGTCCTGCAGGTACAAATGCGGAAGGTGGGTTTGGTGCCTCCATCTCTCTCCATTTATAGATATTTACAAAAGAAAGTCATGAGCAACAGGCCACAGTCATGCAAAAGAAACGCACCCCCCTCCCTCCCTCCCCTGAGATGAACCCCCTGCCCACCCCAGAACACCATGATGCCCACCCCCCAGCAGTCCAGCCGCCTTCCCCAAGGTTCTGAGAGCAAAGGGGGCATGTCCTTGAAGGGTCAGTGGGGAAAGGGTGGTGGGTCTGGGGTCCCCAAGCCACCAGTGGGTAGGTGCTGGGGACCCGGGCTGACAGGGTGGAGGGTATCCTGGCCCTTCCCAGGCCTGGACTCTGGAGTCAGTAGGAAGGGACTTTGAAGTCCCAGTCTTTGAAGCCCCCACTTCCCTCCAGAAGGTCCAGGGAACCAGGGTCAGCTCTGTCCTGAGTGTGGAGGGGTGTCCTGGCGTCCCACCCCCAGCAGAGGCTCTTGTGGGAAGCAGTCAGCACAGGGCCCGGAGGTCAGATGGCAGACTCCCTGCGGTAGGAGATGTTGTCCAGCGGAAGGGTGGCTTGCATGCGCTCCAGATCCAGGTGGCTGCCAAACTCCAGCATTCGGATGATGCCCGCCTCCTCCTTGGAGCCCGCCTCCAGACCCAGGCCCGCGGCCACCGCGGCAGCGGCCGCTGCCTCCTCCTCCATCTCCTCTTCCTCCTGGCTCATGAGAGCCAGCTCGTTCTCGTAGCAGAAGGCACTGGGCGGGGGCGGCGGGGCGGGCAGCACGGTGATCTTGCTCTCCTGCAGCTCCCGGGCGGAACAGCAGGGCGTGCCGGCCACCTCGTAGGTCTTGTGGAAGCGCGAGTAGTCCACCTTGTAGTGACTCTTCTCCTCAAAGACCACGGGCTCAAAGCGGTGGCCCCACAGGATCTCACTGGCCAGGTAGGAGCTGCGGGCCTGGGTGGTCATGGCGGTGGCCTCCACCATGCCTTCGAGAATCACCACGATCTCAAAGTCCTCCGACTCCAGCTCCTCTTTGCCCATGCCGTAGAGCGGGCTGTCCTCATCAATCTCGTGGACGATGATGATGGGTGACACCAGGAAGATGCGGTCCAGGCCGATGTCATAGCCCACGTTGAGGTCCCGCTGATCCAGCGGCAGATACTCGCCCTCCTGGGTCATATAGGGCTTGATGAGCTGGGCCCGCACGTGGGCCTCCACGATGTGGCTCTTGCGCAGGTTGCCCACGCGCCACATCAGGCAGAGCTTGCCGTCGCGCACCGAGATGACCGCATGGTGGCTGAACAGCAGCGTCTGCGCCCGCTTCTTGGGCCGAGCCATCTTGGCCATGATGGTGCCGATCATGAAGGAGTCAATGACGCAGCCCACGATGGACTGGACCACCACGGCGATGACCGCCAGCGGGCACTCCTCCGTCACGCACCGGAACCCATAACCGATGGTTGTCTGCGTCTCCACTGAGAATAGGAAAGCACCCAGGAAGCCATTCACGTGCATGATGCAGGGTTTGGGGGCCACCGGGGCAGCCCCACCGCTGCCCACCGGGGCCCCGGCAGCAGCCACCGCTGGGCTGGCCTCCAGGTCACCATGGAAGAAGGCGATGCACCAGAAGAGGAGGCCAAAAAAGAGCCAGGAGACGAGGAAGGCCGCGGAAAAGATCATGAGCATGTAGCGCCAGCGCGTGTCCACGCAGGTGGTGAAGATGTCCGCCATGTAGCGCTGCGACTTGTTGCTCAGGTTGGCGAAGTAGACGTTGCATTGGCCGTTCTTCTTAACAAAGCGGTTGCGGCGTTTCCGCCGGGGCACGTGGGCCTGCCCGTTGCGGCTGTGCCCGTGCATGTCCTGAAGCCGGCGTGGTCACCTGGGAAGACGCAGGGCCTAGGGAGGAGAAAGCAGATACGTGAGAGGCTGGGGAGTGAGGAGCTGCTGTGGGGGTGGCCTTTCCCAGAGCCCAGGGGCACCCGGGTCAGGGGGGCACCCAGGTGAGGGGTGGCAAGGCGCCTGTCCAGGGATGCTCAGGAGGGGAGGAGCCTAGACTGGAACCTGAGACCTCCTCCGCCCCATGGACAGAATGAGACAGTGAAGGGGGTTCTGACAGGGAGGGAGTATCGAGGCCTATGTCAGTGCCTCTGAGGCTATCCCAGCTCCAGGATTGGCGTCTGTGGGACCCGAAGCTGAGGCCACCAGGATCCAGGTCCCAGCCCCAGCCCCTCACTCTGCCCATCTCCAACCCTCCTTTGTCCTCTGTTCTGGGAGCTTCCTGATGCCCTTTTGGCTCCACCCTCCCACCATTTGTCCCATTTGCCCCAAGCAGATGGAGGTGTGAATGCTCTGGTCCCCTATCACCGCCTTGGTTTCAGCCTCTGCCATCTGGGATCTCGGGGGCTGGACATTCTCCTGTGCTGTCCAAAACGGCAGCTACTGGGCACCAGTGGCTCTTACATTTAATTAAAATTAAGTCAAATTTTGACTTTGGTTTCCCAGCTGCACTAGCCACATTTCAAGTGCTTAGTAGCCACAGGTGGAAATGGCCACCATACTGGACAGAGCAGATATAGGGCATTTCCATCCTCGCAGAAAGTGTGACTGGACAGTGCTGGGACCCACAGCCTCTCCTTGGCTCCTGTCCTGTCCCCAAACTTGTTGGGAGCAGCGGTAGGTGAACACTCCACTGGTAGTGATCATGATGGAGGAAGGGGAGCCCCCAGCTTTGGTTCCTGTGTAGGCATCGCTGTTCCTATGTCACAGGTGAGGGAACAGGGGCTCAGAGAGGGGAAATGACCTACCCAAGGCCACACAGCTTGTAAGTGGGTCCAAACCCAGGTGTGTCTAACTCTTCAGCTCCCAGGTGCTGTCAACATTGATGAGTTCATGGTGTGGGGACCCCGAGTCGGGGAGGCAGACACATCCACTGTCGAGCTCTGTCCCCTTGGACAACTCACTTCACCTCTCTGAGCCTCAGTTTCCTCATCTGTAAAATTAGGATCAAAACTCCACCTCACAGGACCCGAGGAGATAGTAAGTACTTGTTTGAAACCAGTCGCCCTCCTGCCTTCCTTCCCGCTTCCCGGGAGCGGGAGAAGCTGGTGAGAGGCAGTTGTCGCCTGTCAGCATCCCCAGCTGTGCCCGTGGAGGCGGCCCCGCACCCCACCGGGTGGCGGGTGGCGGGCACACCAGCTGGGCCCGTGGCGGGCGGAGCCTCCCTCCACCCCTCCTTTCCGCGGGGGCCCCAGGAGGGAGATGGTGCTGCCCAGCGCCCTGGCGGCTGGCAGGGCTGGGCCCGGGTCTGGGTTCCCGGTAACGTTTTGGCCCAGAATTATGTAAGGCTGGAAGTTCTATTTTCTGTCCTATTCTTCTTCCTGATCTAATTGTGCATCTGTGGCAATGTTTATACACTTCCCCCAGTTCAGGACAACTCGGTTGCCGCAGCAACCGGTGCGCGCCAACGCTGTAATTTAGAGATCAACAGCTTCAGAGCCAGCCTCTTCCCGGAGACACTCCCTCTCTCAGCCAGGGAGAGTGAGCCCTGCGCCCCCTCCCACCGTCACCCCACCCCGACTCTGGGTTCTTCTCCCTTCCTCCCTTAAAAGGAGCTCCCTGCATCCTACAGTCCGGAACTGAAGTCCCAGATCCACCATGTAGCTGGGGCAAGTTACTCGGCTGCTCTGAACCTCAGTTTCCTCATCTGGAAAATGGGACTAGCGAGCCCATCAGTCTGAACGGGTAACATGGGTGTGCAATGCTGGCCCTCAAGAGGTCATAGCTTTAGCTAGGAGTGCCAGACCCTCTCTGCCACCTCCCCTAGAGTCCCAAAGCCAGGGCTCCAGGTGGCAGCCCTGAGGGCACTGGGGGCCAGGGGCACATTCTAGGCTGTAAATAGCTCTCAGGGAGGTCTTCCTTCGCTAAATGCCTCCCGCTCCGCTCTGTCCCACTGTCCTGAGTGCCTGCATTAGCACCGAAGAAGGAACCAGAGCCTGAAGGAATGGAAGACCACTGATTTTAAGACCCTCATTTTATGCCTGAGGCCGAGGAAGCCCAGAGCTGGGACAGACTTGCTAGGGGCCCCAGAAAGAGGCAAGGTGGGCCAGCCCTGAGCCTGTCTCCTCACTCCCGCTCCTGGAAGGTCAAGGTGCTCCTGGGGGGAGAGGCTGCCTCCCTGGAGGGGGTGGGGGTGGAGTTTGGGGCTGGGGGAGAGAGGGCCCCAGCAGACCTGGACTCACCCTCCACAGGTCTCTGGGAGAGAGGCTGGGGGGACAAGTGATGGCGACCTGGGCCTTTGGTGAGCGAGGACACTGAGGCCCTTGCTGGGTGAGGACCCTGCCCAAGGCTGAACACGAGCCCAGGGTGCTGGGGGCCCTAGTCTCCTGTCAAAGGGACGGGACCTGCCCTGGGACTGCATCCTGAGCTGCCGGAGAGGGCTGTTCGTGGGCCCCCTCTCCAGGAGGGCCCTGGGGATGAGGGGTGAAGGAGACCATCCCGCGTAGCTATAAACTCTTGGTCCTCGCCTCACCAGCACGGCCCACTGTTTCCCATTCATGAGTGGAAGCGACAGGAGCCGCAGCCAAGCCCCGTGCCCCAGGGCCAGCCCCAAGGCTCCGCGTGTCCCCACCCCCACACTCACACCTGCAACTTCAGTGCTCACCCCCAGCCCCTGCCTTGCCACCCCCGTCTCCCCATCCCCAGGAGCCCCACATGGCAGCCCAGGGTGGGGGACAGCTTATCCCCTGCCCCTGCACCTCCTCTCCTGGTCACAACAACTATTGCCAAGCCCCTGTGCCGACAGCTTCGCCTGTCTTAGCTCGGGTGATGCTCAGAAGCGTCTGCTCCTGGGCTGTTGGGAGAGCTGCCCCAGGCACAGGTGCTCCACCCAGACCCGCCACTCTTGCCCCCGCCCCAAGGAGCCCGTGTCCAGACCCTCAGCCAGTGCCCCCAGCCCTCCGTCGCAGGGACCCGCTCACATAGAGAACACTCCCGTCACCAAGGACTCCCTCGGCTGAAACGACAGGCCCGCCCGCACCCACACAATCTGGGACCCAAAAGTGATAAGTACGAAGCTTGGCGTTGTGCTTTCATGTGACAACCACTGGGAGAGGACCAGATTTTCTTCCCTTGTTTGTCACACGGGGCTTCCTGTCCAAGGCACAAGGGCCGGAAGGAAAAGTGAAAGAGGGAAGGGGCACAGAGGCAGAAGGGGGCGAGAGGCACTGATAACTGCATGCCAGCCTGACAATTGCGTGCCAGCCTCCTCTGGATGTGGAGGTTTTACTAAAAGAACGAGCGAGCGAGCACTCTGGTTGTCTAGGCACCTGTATCGGCTGCAGTTCAGCTGTGCTTTTCTGGGAGGGAGGGAGCTCTCGACTCCTCTGCTCCGAACGTGCCCTGCAAGCATCAGGGAGGAGAGAGCGGTCAGCACATTTCTAGGCTGGAGGCTCTGGGAGGCCAGGTTCTCTCGCTGCCTTGCTGGGTCACCTCAAAAGTCCTTCCACTGCCCGCCTGGTTCTTCCTCCAGTCGCTGTCCTTTATTCGAAGAGGACATCCTGGGACTCTTTTCACAGCAAAGTTTCTTTCTTTTTGGGAATCATGGGCATGGGAGATGCTGGCTGCTTTTAAAAATCGGAATGTCCTTTCTCGCCAAAGTGAAGGATTGACAATGCTGGTCCGGTTACCAAATTCTTTTTCTCTTTTAATTTTGCTGTGCTGTGGAGATCCACAATCTGGAGCCTCTAGTCCAGACTTTACTGGACAACTGGGGAAACTGAGGCCGAGAGCAGGGTTGTGGCATGGTGAATCAGCAGCTGGTAAAGGACGCTTGGGCCTCAGGGAGACAGTGAAGGTGACCAGCAGGGCCGTCCACTTGCTGGCACCCTCGCTATCTGCCCCTTGCTGAGGAGTCAAGGAGGGCTGGGCCCTGCCTACAGGGGTCCAGAGGGGGCAGGAAGACCACCTCTTAGGTTTTCCCTTGGATTTTATGACCCTAAACGCCCCCTCCTTACCCATAACTCCTTTCTCAAAAGAAAAGCTGATAAAGTGGCAGCCTCGGTGGACTCCAGCACCCCAGGTGGGCTGTGAGGGCAAATCTCTCAGCTCCCACCCTCACCACTCAGGGGAGACACGACGGCGGCAGCCGCAGGTGCGCCTCAGCCGGGCCCTCCGGCCCCAGACAGCAGCCGCAGTTACTGAGACCCGGGGCGGATGGGGCCTGCTCTCAGCCCCTTGGACAGCAGGAGGGAGGGGCCAGAAGGCCACACTTAGGGAGCACTCAGCCAGCGCCAGCTCGCAGGGCCCTTGGGCATCCCATTGTTATTGGGTGGGACAACAGGCAAGATGAAGTGACTTGCCCGAGGTCACACAGCTCAGCCGTGGGGCCCAGCGGAATCCGCTGTCCTTCTCTGTGGCGATTCTCAGGAATCGAACACTCTGGAGTGCCAGCCCTCTGCCAGGCACCGCCTGGCCTGCCTCGCTGAAGCGTCACTGCAATCCTTTGTTCATTTAACAAGTATTTATTAAGCACCTATGACAGCAACAGCAGGGTTATTATTTCTCTTCCCAGCTGAAGAATCAGAGGCTGGGGCAGAGGGGTGGGGGGAGAGAGGAGGGTGGGGTCACACAGCAGAAGCGACAAAGCCAGGGTTCCGACTCAGGCCTAGCTGGCTCCAGGTCCTCAGATCACTCTGGTCCCCACGTGCTCCGCTCCACCAGGATTCCCTTGTGCCTCCCACCATTGCCCTGGCCAGCCCAAGCGCCCTCCGCTCTCTGAAGCCTTCGCTGGCTGCCCTGCCAGCCGCCAGCCCTGCTGAGCCCCCGACCCTCACTGTCTGTCTGCACCGCTTGGCTCCTGTCCAACTTTATGAAAATACGTGCTGGTCAAACCCTCGTGTTTGGGTGGCAAGACCTGGTTCTCAGTCTCAGCTCTGTCACCTCCTAGCATGTCCTCTTTGGACCTCAGTTTCCTCATCTGCAAAATGGAGATGATGATAACAGTACCCACCTCACCAGGCCGTTGTTGAGGCGAACATGATACCCACTACAGAATAGAGACATCGGCTGAGGGTCCCACAGGGCATTACAGGTAAAATGCAAAAAATGATGATGATGGTGATGATAATGACGATAACGAAGAAGATGATGACGATGAAGATGATGATGAGGTTGATGATGATGATAATGAAGATGATGAAGATGATGATGATGATGGTGATGATAATGACGATAATGAAGAAGATGATGACGATGAAGATGATGATGAAGAAGAAGATGATGATGATGGTGAAGGTGATGATGATGGTGATGATGAAGATGATGGTGATGGCAACGTAAGAGCACTGGACTGGGAGTCAGGAAGCTTGGCTTCAAGTCCTGGCTCCACCACTAACTTCTCCAGTCAGCTGCTCCTTCGCTCCATCTGCAAAATGGGCGACCGTAATTGCTCCCTGCTAGGAGGGTTGGGAAGATGTGATGAAACAAGGCGCCCAGCACAGAGTCTGAAATAAGGCGGGTGATCCAGTGGGTGTCCTGAGTCTGATCAGCCCACCCATCCCTGAGCCCCTCTTGGGCCTGGAGTGGGGGGTTGACTCTTCTTTTCCCACAGGGAGCACCCACAGGGCAATGGGCTGACAGTGCACCCCAAGTGGTTCGAGAGGGTGCGAAGACTTCCTTGGGGGACGTGGAAGGAATGAACACCACGGTCCCCCTTCCCAGCCCCATGAGGGCCCAGGGCCTGCCCTCCTCCAGCTCTGACTGACGCCTCCCGGGGCCTGGATGGGGGCCCTCTCAGCTCCAACACACAGGGCTTTGCAGAGGGACAGGGCTCAAGGCCTAGGCGGGTGAGCTGTGCTCCTCAAAGAACAAAGGGGAACTGAGGCTGGATCTGGGGCCGGGGGAAACTGTGGCAGGGTGTCTCCTCCTGCCTGTGCCTTCTGCAGGCCTGGTCCTGCTCCTCAGACCCAGGGAGGTCTGACTGACGCCTCTTCATGAATTTCCAGAGCCCACATCTTCCCCTCCCAGTGCTGTGCCTTTGACTCTGGAGTCTCTGTGCCACTTTCTGCCTGTGTGACCTTGGGCAAGTTACTTAACCTCTCTAGCCCCTGCACGCCTCATCTTTAGGTGGGGCTAATAACAGTCCTTACCTCATAGGATTGTAATGAGGGATACGTGGATCGTGCACATCACATGCCCAGCACAGAGTAAGTGACTGATAAGTGGTCTGAATCACTCCCAAGGGCGAACAGTCCTTCCCTCGGCCTCCCCGGAATTTCAGATGCAGCGTCCCAGAGCGCCCACACCCCTCCCGTGGCCCTGCCCGGCGTGTCTTCCCGCACCAGTGCCAGGGAGCAGGGGACAGACGCTCACAGGGCGGGCAGGTAGTGGGCGGTCCTGCCCGGCTCCCCAGGTCCCTCGAGCTCCCTGAGCCTGGCGTCTTCACGTGCAGAGGAACCGTCATCCCTACCTTGCAGGGTGGCCGTGAGGGCTGGAAGCAGCTTGTCGATTGTCACAGACGTGCAGGCCACACAGTGGTGCTCAGCCAACACTGTTCCTCCCCCACGCCTTCTTCTGGACCCTGGGTCCAGCCCCTCCCCCACTGGCCAACGGTGTGACATTGCGAAATCCACACAGAGAATTCAGTATGCACTTCCTCTGTGCGGGCACTGTTCTGAGTGCTTCACACTGATCAATTCCTGCCACCCGCACCGTGACCTCAGAGGAAGCTACCATTATCATCCCTACTTTAGGAGTAAGAAAACCAAGGCACAGAGAAGTTCAGCAACTTGCCCAAGGTCACACAACTTGTAAGCGGCGGAGTGAGGATTTGGAAACAGGCTGTCAATATCAGAGCACATTCATTAGACACGCTGCTCTCCTGCCTCAAAGAAACATTGTCACATCACATGTTTCTTCCACTTAGTAAACATTTATCAAGCCTTACTATGTGCCAGGTTCTGTGAGGTCAGTTCTATTGGGAAAAGAGGAACTGAGTCATAGGACAAGTTGGAGCCAGGACCCAGGTCCTGCATTTCGGGTCCAGCCAGAGTCTAGGCACACAAGCGACTGAGCTCCAGAGGGGCTCTGAGCAGCGTGGGGTGAACTGGCTCATTCCTCCCGCTCTGCACCCCCTCTCCCTCCCAACCACTCAGCCAGCAGGTGAACAGGCTCAGAAAGCAGGTTCCCCCGAAATGTCCAGCCGGGCCTTCCGGTCAGGGCCAAATGGCAGGAGCTGGTGGCTGGAGGACCCAAAAGCTACTGCTCCAACTTGCAAGTGTGCCCTTTGCTGCATTGCCGACGCCTGGCCCCGGCCCTGATGGAGAGCTCGCCACTTCCGCAGGGGCCCCTGCTGTTGGCCAGACAGCCCCACCAAAGAGGTCACCCCAGACACAGTGTCCCTCTTCCCTAGGGGGATGTGAAGGCAGAGCAGATCCCCGAAGTTCCCTTTTCTAGAATAACCTCAGCTCTCTCGCTAGTGGTGGGATTCAACCCCCACTGCCTTGCTGTGGCTTCGGAGGATCTGGCCTGCTGCGCGCTCTTCCTCCAAGGTCACCCGTTCA